TGAGCACTGAAATAAACTTCTGATCTCTTTTCATGAATCATTAATGTTCTTAATGGCATCTAGAATGGTGAATCCTTTCCAGAAGGTTTTCCATTTACTTTGTCTAGATCCATCAGAGGAATTACTATCTATGATGGATAAAGCCTTACAAAATGCATTTCTATTTCTGAAAAAAAATAAGACATGAAAGTTGAAATAACTCCTTGATCCATGGGGCTGCAAATGGATGTTGTGCTAGTAGCATTAAAACATATCAATCTCATTGTGCATCTCCATCAGAGCTCTTGAGTGACTACATGCATTGTCAATGAGCAGTAATATTTTTAAAGGAATCTTTCTTCTGAGCAGTAGGTCTCTAGAGTTGCCTTAAGATATTCAGCAAACCATATTGCAAACAGATACGCTGTAATCTAGGCTTTGTGCTTCCATTCACAGTGCACAAGCAGAGTAGATTTAGCCTAATTCTTAAGAGCCCTAGAATTTTCAGAATAGTAACTGAACACTAGTTTCAACTTAAAGTCACCAACTGCATCAGCTTCTAATAAGAGAGTCAATCTGTCGTTTGAAGCTTTGAAGCCAGGCACTGACTTCTCCTCTCTAGCTATGAAGGTTCTCAGTGGAATCTTCTTCCACTTAAAAGGCTAAACATTGAAAAATTCTTAGTGTATACATTTTCATCAAACTTAGCTAGAACTTTTGGATAACTTGCTAGAGCTTCTATATCAGCGCTTGCTTCTTTATCTTACACTTTTATGTTATACAGAGATGGCTTCTTTCCTTAAACCCCATGAACCAATCTCTGCTAGCATCAAACTTTTCTTCTTCAGCTTCCTCACCTCTCTTAGCCTTCAAAGAATTGTAGAGAGTTGATTCTTGCTCTGGTATAGGCTTTCGCTGAAAAGAATGTTGTGGCTAATTTAATCTTCTACATAGATGACTAAAACTTTCTCCGTATCAACAATAAGACTGTTTCACTTTCTTATCACTTCTGTGTTTACTGGAATAGTGCTTTTAATTTCCTTCGAGAACTTTCCTTTGCATCCACAACTTGACCTACTGGCACAAGAAGCTTAGCTTTCAGCCCATCTCAGCTTTTGATATGCTTTTCTCACTTAGGTTAACGATTCCTAACTTAGGCTAACGATTCCCTAGCTTTTAATTTAAAGTGACAGACATGTAACTCTTCCTTTCCTTGGACACTTAAGGGCCATTGTAGAGTTATTAAATGGTTTGATTGAAACACTGTTGTGTCTCGGGGAACAGGGAGGCCCAAGGAGAGGAAGAGACACAGGGGAACAACCAGTTGGGGTAGCAGTCAGAACATATATAACATTTAAGTTTGTTGTTTTATATGGGCACAGATTGTGGTATCCCAAAACAATTTACAGAGATCACTGATCACAGATCACCAGAGCAAATATTATAATAATAAGAGAGTTTGAAATACTGTGAGAATTACCAAAATGTGACATCAAGACTTACAGTGAGCAAATGCTTTTGGAAAAATGGCGTCAACAGACTTGTTCAACAAAGGGTTGCCACAAACTTTCAACTAGTAAAAAGTGCAATTATCTGTGAAGTGCAATAGAGCAAAGTTTAATACAACAAAGTATATCTGCATTTATTTCTATTAGTGATACCATTATCATGTCACCCGGTGGGAAACTACTGATCAAGATACTCAAAAAATATACTTTTTTAGACACAGATTACAAAATATTTCTAGCATACTTTAAAAGCTAAACATAGATATATAGCTATAGATATAGAAGATATATGGTATACTTTTAAAATGAGATTTTTTAAAGCTATGCAATGTCAAAATTTATAGCTACAGATACTATGCAGATACTAGTTAATAGGTTTACTGGTGTGTGTATGTGTATAGTTTTCTGAAAAATTGACAATTTTAAGGTGGAAATTTAGGATTATTATCCTTATTCCAGCTCCAATATTATCCACAGTACAAATGATACATTTATATTTACACAGACATACACACGTGCATGCATGTCTCTCAATATGTAACAAAGTAGTCAAGGAGATGAAACGTACATTGTTTGGGGGAATCTATTAGGTATTTAAATATCTGTTTCTAACATGACAGAGAATGTGACATTAAATCTCATCATAAAATTATTTAGAATAGCATCAAAGCTTGAAACAAAACAAAATATTCAGGCAAATAAATGCCTAAGACATTGTTAAAGATTTTTACTAATTAGATTGTACAATTAAAAATATTATTTTAATCTAATTGATTTGTAGAATTAAATCTAGGTTGTCCAAGAGAAAACTGACTTATGATTTATCCAACAGCAAGCAAGAATTATCAGTAATACTAAACAGAACACATAACATGCAAAAATTTTTTTTTGAGCTTTAAATCTTTCTGACTGCAAACTTAACTTAAAACAGAATTATCAAAAGCAAGTGCCTTGATTTCAGGGTCTGCTAAAAGTAAAATAGCTTTTTAAAGTCTGTCACCATAGTTTTTTGTCAATTTGACAGAGATGGTCAGTTAATTTTTATCCCTACCCCCCCCCCGCCCCCTGCCAGAGCTTATGTTTTTCCCCCACTAAGGAGAAAACACATTCATTCCAAATAACCCCCAAACCAATACAGTACATCTTGAAATTATTTAATCTATTTTATAACATCACATATCACTATATGTTTCACATTTTATGTATTTCACCATAGGTTATATTCTGGAAATGTATGATGAATGATGAGGAATGGGATGTAAATTCAAATAGAATGCTTTAAGAAGTTTATTTTGGATTTAGATCTTTAATAACCTAGCAAATACTCACATGTCACTTTCAGTGAAGCTCTCAAGAAAGTGTGGTGGGATTTTAGAATGAAAATTACAGATCACTGACACAAAGATCAATGACCACTTAGTTTATGCTAATTGGTATAAATATGATATACCTAAAGCAGTAACTCTATTTGCTATCCAATACTTTAGAGTAGAACCCCTTTCACTATTTCTGGGATACACTCAAATATGGATTTTCAGAGGAAAGAGTATAGAAACTTCTTAATTTTTTAAACAGTAGAAATGTCTATTAGAGTTGTTCAGATAAGTTTAATAATATAGTTTTGATGAATTACATTCAAAAAGCAATTGCTGAGTAATATATATCATGTCAGAGATATTGTCCTGGACAGTGTACTAATAAAGTAAATAAGTGTTCCCTTCATTATGCAAGATCTTACCACTAAATAGTTCTTAAGAGGATGGAAACTTTAAAATTATGACAAGTGTAAAAATGCTGCTAAAGAAAACCTTACTGCCTTGCATTGTTGAATACTGCCATATTTTCAGAAGAGTAAAAGCAAAACCAATCAAGTTAAGAATATTTACATGAGATGAATGCATCCACTAAAAGGAAGATCCACCACTTAATGAGCATCTATCACATTATCAGGCACTGAAACAGGTATCTGCTTGTTTTCATTATGAGAAATACATTAAATACTATATGCAGAGAATAATCAGTATCCCACAGTAAGCAAATGATAGACTTGATCTTTGAACTTAACTTTCCTAAAGTAATGTCTACTCTTTCCTATTATTTGTCTCCAAATATAGCATCCAGATTAGCTTCACTATATTGGAAGGACAATACTGTACTTTAAACATGATATAGACAGAATATTAACTTGGTTTAAATCTGCAAAGGATATTAATTTCATCAGAGATTAATTACCCTTGGTGGTCACACAAGAAAGAGAACAGCAGAAGATAGAATATATTGTCTCACAGCATACATCCACAATTCTATCCATGAAATTGATGTATATATTTTAATATAATGAAAGGTCTTAACTCACTTTTTCATGTTTCTCTTCCTGATGAAATTCATAAACCTGCAAGTAAAATTTCAAAAATGACATAATTTAACTGACTTTATCAGATTACATCACAAATAGAAAAGCTCTNTCTATTCAGTTCAGTCGCTCAGTCGTGTCCGACTCTCTGCCACCCCATGGACTGCAGCATGCCAGCCTCCCTGTCCATCAGCAACTCCCAGAGCTTGTTCAAACTCATGTCCATTGAATCGGTGATGCCATCCAACCATCTCATCCTCTGTCATCCCCTTCTCCTCCTGCCTTCCATCTTCCCCAACATCAGGGTGTTTTCTAAAGAGTCATTTCTTCACATCAGGTGGCCATCTTAGATGACCTTAAAAAAACTTCATGGGTTTGAAATTGGAAAAAGCAGTTCTGATATACACATTTTTCTCTTTTTCTACTATTTGCAATGTACAGAGTTTTACACTGGTTCGGACAGTGCTTTGGCAATGAGTATCAACATGTATTTTAAACTGCCAGAGAAAAGCTAGAAAATACTACCTGTTAAGCTACGTGGACAAAAAAGACTTTTCTCCATGTACTCTAAACATGAAAGGACACAAACCAGCAGAAATAAATGTTTAAATCAGAAGCATTTTATCATCTGGTATTTTGTTTTCCGGAACATTTTTTACAGGTGCTGGGCACTTTGGATGGCTGTTTTTCAGAAGTAAAATCTCTGGAGGGCTAATTCCAACTTCATTTTCTTTCCAGCGTTGTGACATCAAACCTCCCACACCGCCTGGCCCCGGGTCTTCCTGCAGAGCGAGGCCCGGAGCTCCCGGGAGAACCCGGGGGCAGGAGTCAGCCCGCGGCCGCTAGATGGCGGTACGTCCCCCGGGATGCGGGCGGGAAGGGCGGCGTCAGAGCGGCTCTCCCCGTCCGGGTCAGGCCCCATCTTCCCGAGCGCGCGTCCGCCCGGAGCCGCCGGGCAGCCACCCCTGGGTTCCTTCGGAGGATGGAGTTTCCAGAACACTGGCGTCTCCCCCTCCAGGTCCACCCTGCCTGCCCCCGGACTCCATGTCTCCTCCACAGGCTTTTATTTAGGGCACGGGGAGACGTTTCTCCTTAGATTTTTAAACTCTCTCTCTTTTTTTTTTTTTTTTTTTTTAGCCTTTCAGCTTTTGGGATCTTAGTTCCCTGACCAGGTATTGAACCTGGGGCCACAGTGGTAAAAGCTCTGAGTCCTAACCACTAGACCCCCAGGGAGCTCCCTAGATTTCTAAGGGGAGGTTTTTAACCTCTTATTCTCAGTTTATTTCTGAAAAGTAACAGTCTAGACTTTAAAATTTTACTTAAAATGATTTGAGAAACTCATACTGTATTTTTCTCCTGAAAATAGTTTTTATACATATATTGGATACATATACATATATTTATACATATAAATGAGTTATACATTTATTTTATACATATAATGGTCTAAACACATATTTATATATATTTATGTTTGTGTAGAATATAGGTTTATACTGTTGTTATTCGGTTGCCTGGTCGTGTCTGACCCTTTGCGACCCCGTGGACTGCAAATGTGCCAGGCCTGTCTGTCCCCATCTCCCAGAGTTTGCCCAAATTCATGTTCATTGCATCGGTGATGCTGTCCAGCCATCTCATCCTCTGATGCCCTCTTCTTTTGCCCTCAGTCTTTCCCAGCATCAGGGACTTTTCCAATGAGCTGTCTGTTCACATCAGATAACCAAAATATTTTATTGGTGCAAATAGAAATAATTAGAAGGTCGATTTTAAAAACTGAAGTGTTTGTATATTACCTTTAGTAAAGATGTGCTAAATAATTTTTTACATCAATATTATTTTAGAAATTTTTTAATCGAAAGAACTCTTAGTGTTTCACGGTATTGAGTATGTACCCTTTGATAGCTTTTAAAAGAAAATTGCCAAAATATGCTTCAGTTCAGTTCAGTTCAGTTGTGTCCGATTTTTTGTGACCCCATGAATCGCAGCACGCCTGGCCTCCCTGTCCATCACCAACTCCCGGAGTTTACTCCCAACTCATGTCCATCGAGTCAGTAATGCCATCCAGCCATCTCATCCTATGTCATCCCCTTCTCCTCCTGCCCTCAATCTTTCCCAGCATCGGGGTCTTTTCCAATGAGTCGGTTCTTCACATCAGGGGGCCAAAGTACTGGAGTTTCAGCTTCAGCATCAGTCCTTCCAATGAACACCCAGGACTGATCTCCTTCAGGACGTGGCCACCTGATGCAAAGAGCTGACTCATTTGAAAAGACCCTGATGCTGGGAAAGATTGAGGGTAGGAAGAGAAGGGGACGACAGAGGATAAGGTGGTTGGATGGCATCACCAACTCGATGGACATGGATTTGGGTGGACTCCAGGAGTTGGTGATGGACAGGGAGGCCTCGCGTGCTGTGGTTCATGGGATCACAAAGAGTCTGACACAATTGAGCGACTGAACTGAACTGAAAGAAAAAATGTGTTTTTATTTGTATATGTCACAATCCAAATAACTACTTTTAATTTATATTTCTTTCCTGTTTTCATGAGGATTTTTGTTGAGCCTACTAAGGTAAAGGGCATAAATTAATCTAATATTTTCTAATCAGTGAGAATAACATAAATTTTGAATGTATTCCAGAAGAAAAGCAAAATTAGCAATGATCGCAATAATTCCTACAATATGGATTTTTGTGATAAAATATAATGGCTTAAAAGATATTTGTTCTTCCTAGATCAATTATATTGCTTATATAATAGAGGTTTCCTTTAATCATCCTTACTTTTTCACATCCAGCCTTCCACATGTGTGAATTATTTCCAGATATCTTTTTGCTAGTGAATGGTGCCCCTCATTTATACTTGTTAAAATAAACAAAGTAAAGATGATAGATAGATACAAAAAGGCTTAATTACTGTGGAATTAATTTTATTTTAATAGCCAGTGCTTGTTGAGATTTAACTCAAGTTCTAAATTCCAGTAGAGTCCACACTTACAGAACATTCTAAGAAGGAAGAATGCTTGAAGTGAGTGGTAAGAGAATTTTATGGTGGGAGTAGATATTAAGTAGACTTTAAATACTTTATCTCTCATGTGTGTTAATTTCTTCACTACATTAAAAAAATACATATATTTTTTCAGTACCAAGAGTGATTTGAAATGAGTCTGAACCTCACAGACTCAGCTGATAATAAATGACAAATTTGGGTGATTCAGACAGGAATTTATATCACCTTCACCATTTCCCCTACCTTGTTCTTCCCTTAAGAAGAAGGACACTAACTCTGAACCATGAATACCTAAATACTAATTAGACAAGGAAATGGAGAATTGAGTGTTTGATGTGTGGGGGTATGGGAGGACTCTTTCTTTTGCCTCTTTTCCTCCTTTTCTGTCTTTTTCTCTCTCTCTCTCTTCCCCTCCCTCACACTCCCCTGCAATTCTCGTGTGGTATCTCTGAATTTTCAGATTGCGTCTCTCTTTATGTTATTTTATGCAATAAAATGTGATGTTTCTGAGGATGCCTTCTGCTCATCAAAGATCTTGCTCTGGAATTGCCTAAGAATATGAGAATTACAACAAGCCTACTCAGAATATCATTGAGAAATTTTCTTTTCTTAGCATGTTTATCCTTGAATTTATTCCCTAAACATGTACTGCCACTGAAATAAGAGATTTTACAGGTTATATTTCTTAGGGGTTAGAAAAACAAATGAAACAAAAAAGGAGTCTGACAAAGCAATTTCTGATCCAGTGTATATTTAGGTTGTCTCAGACAGTTTTGTCAAGAAATGCTCCCATGAGCATATTTATAAATACTTCTTTATGTGGCAATGTGCTAGTGCAACTCTTTCTGTAGCGTGACTCCTAGAAATGAAATTGGCTAGGAATTGGGTAAACGCATTTTAAAATTTAATATCTTCAAGATGAATTCTAATTTTTTTAACCAATATATACTACTGGTGCAGTGTTTGAGCCACTCTTGAAATTTTGTTGTCAATACCTAGATATGTCTTAGAGAACAGAAACAATATAGACCATGAACCTGTTACCAAATGCACCGTTTTGCTCCATATAGTTTAATCTTATATAAAAAAGAATATACTGTAATGGTCTTTATCTTTCTGGCTTACTTCGCTCTGTATAATGGGCTCCAGTTTCATCCATCTCATTAGAACCATGGCTAATTCATTTCAATGTATGACAAAAACTACTGTAATGATGTAAAGTAATTAGCCTCCAACTAATAAAAATAAATGGAAAAAAAAATAAAAAAATTAAAAAAAAGAATAAAAAATATTATGTGTGCATTTGACTATTATGTAGAATGGAACATGTACATGAAAGAGATAGAGAAACTAAGGACTTTTCTCAAACAAACTTTAGAGCAGTTAAATAAAACTGACCTTTATTTTGTCTTTCTTTTGATTTCAACAAAAAAAATTAAATTCAAGAAATGTTCATAAGATGTTCACAAGGTATGGGTTTTATATCATTTATTTTTAATGCATTTTATTTATGAACACAACATTATTGATTATTTATCCTGTGCTTATGCACTCAACTAGGCACAGAGGACAGAAGTGAGAAAAATAACATCTCTATCTCTGAGAAGCACACAGTATATTTCCTGAACAAAGTAGCCTTCAACACAATGTGAAGAGAAAAAAAAAATGAAGAAACAGAATAAATGTGATGCAACCAAAAAAGTGGTTTCTCACTGTGCCCCACAAGGCATCAAGCAAAATTTCACAGAATAAGAGATGCTTGAGTTTGTTGGGAAGGTGTATTGGCATTCTCCAGGCAGATAAGGAAAGAAAAACCACTGCATAGAGTATACAATCTGTAAAAACTAGCTAAATATGAGAGACAATCAAATAATTGGGGAACTCTCTGTAAAGACATAAAATACTTAGAATGGTGTCTGGCACTGTCATTATTTACAGAATATTTGATATCATCATCATCATCATTATGTTAGTAGTAGTAGCAATTATTCACGCCTCTTCAAAACTCTATCCATCAAATACATTTTCCCAATACTCCTTCACAAATGAGAAAATTAAGGCACGGAAACATTAGGTAAGTTTTCCAAAAGCACATGTTGGTAGTTTAATGCAGCTCAACTTCAAGATACATATAGAAACGATGTTAGAAATACAACAGACTATGAAGTTATATGCTAGTATAAAAATATTGTTCTGAAGATCAGAAAGCTTCTGGAAAGTATTATGCATAACAATGTTATGATCTAACACAAAACAGTATTGTGTCAGCAGGGATATTTTCCTTTTTGTGTGTGTGTGTGTGTGTGTGTGTGTGTGTGTGTAGGCTGTGGGGGGAGGGAGGGAGGGGAGGAGGGGTAGCTTTGTTTTGTTTTTTGTTCCTACATGTATCACCACCGGAGAGGTTAACCATAAGAGTGAGCTAGTGAGAGAGAAAATAAATGTGAAAAAAGAGATTTCCTTTGCTATATGCTTTCCTCTAATGGGAGTAGCCACCTCAAAGCCAGTCCTCCTTAGAGAGGTGGGAAATGTCTTTACCTTACTTAATAGAAGATTAAAATGTTCATCAGTATAGGGCTGGATGACTTCCGAATCAAAACTTTTACAGCAAAAATTGAACATAGGACATTTTATTATCTAAAGTGAATAGAGAAGTGATGGAGTCTACAGGAGTTATCACGTAATAACAGAGTGAAAATTTAATTTTCTGTACTGAATACATTTTAAAGGAAGAGCAGGATACAAAAATAAAGTTATAATTTGAGTACTTTCTTTAAGTTTCCTATATCCATTAAAGATGTTTAAAGGATAGAATCAATTTTTACATTGATGAGGAAGTAGGAAGAGTAACAATGAGCTAAATGATACTTCATTAGTTGCTTAAATGAATAAAGGTATTAATGGAGACATTTTTGGGAAAAGAATGAGATCGTTTGTAGAGCTGATGCTGCAGATGTAGATACTTAGAGATATTAATCTGTGAGACATCAATACAGAGATGTTAATTAGCATAAGAGAAACACAAATCTGGTGTCTCCAGCTTGCACTTTTTCAAGCCGAATTTTAGATATACATATTTACTCTCATCTTCTTACCAATTACTCAGAAACATTTTTCATGTTATTCTATTTTATGCCTCAGGAAAGTGCTCCCATTTGTTGATGAGTCAGAGCTGAAAGGCCCCAAGTAAATATAACAGTAAAGAGGGTTTTTATGCTGTTGTTATTGTTGT